TGAATATTGAGTGTGACACTATTTGCCTATCTTAAAATTAAGGGAATTTGAGAGAGCTAGTCTTCAAGATGAATTCGGATTGCTCCGAATATTGGTGCTTTGATCAAAATGTGTACTTTAATCGATAAAGGGCTTATGGAAGCTGAGAAAATGTGTAATGTATACGTTGTTCTTAGTTCGCGTTTATTATTATTTTATGCGCTGAAGACCTCAGGTGGTTGTTTTGTTATTTAAATTTTAGAGTAAACAAAATGGTATACACAAAAGCTTACAAGATTAAATTTTTAACTGCGAAAGGCCACTTCCAAGTTCGCCTTTCCTCTTTGTTATTGCTTCATAAGCAAGCAGTTACTCTAGTTGAAAGTGTTGAAAACAACAATAATGTAAGCACTCAGCCTCTCGATAGCTTAAAGTTCATATAGCGTAGTGCATAATGTAGGTTACTTTTTTTTTAAAATATAAAACAAAGAACAATATCCATAATAATTTTAATAACAAGGAACATTATTTCTAATATAAGAAGAATTAATTTTTAGTACGATGTAATATTTAATACAAGACATGCTAATTTACAGATGAGTACCACAATTAAACTTCCGTGATCATAAATTTACATCTCGTTCGTAATTTGACATTCACTTCATGATTGAGCTAACATTCGTAAATTGACACTGACAAGCATAATAGTGTCACCCAAAATCAGTGTTCAAAAACACAATCTATGCAACCGACTACTCGTTTGAGTACTCCTACTCAATACCAATTCGGGTTGGGTTGCTGAAACACGCTCGATTATGCAGTCAAGTTGCGAAATTGAACGGTTAAATAGAATGCTCTTGTATATGCATTATGCGGTCACGTAATATACGTGACCAGACTTACTGCACTTAATTACCCTAAAGTCTCACGATTGCTACCTATAAAGATTCTCAGAAAATATGCTACTTCAAAACCTCTAGAAGATTCCCATCCAGACCTTGTCTCGGATAAACTAGTCACCCCATCCCACCTCCTTTCCACCGGCACTAGGTGGTGGCGATCACTGCCTCCGATCGCCACCGAAGGTTGGTGCTGATGGCCTTGCCTCTCAACGTTCCCGTCTCTAATTGCTGCGAGGATGACTAGATGAGGAGTTTTGTTAGTATTTTAAAGTGTTATAACTTATTTGATCGTTATTAGTTTATGAACTTTTAGTAGCTTTACTTTTAAGTATGCAACGACTTTGATGTAAATAGCCTGGTGTATTACTGTCAGTCTTTTGTTTATAATGGTTTATATTTTTCATAAATTATTATATTTTTATAGATGATAAATAATATATGGAAATAATGGGTGTGAGGTAGCCGTTCATTTAGCAAAATAAGATACTAAGAGATCGATTATTGGTGAAGCCCGCCCAAATGTCACATCAAAATGTGTGAATCTCATCAAGTCTATCTCTTGGTAGTTTATTTTGCTAAATGATCCGACATCTCATAACTATCATTCTATATGTATATTAATCCCCTGTTACGTACAGCCTAGTGTTTTGGTTTGCACATCTGATCAGGATTGGGTTTGTGCTGTTAATTTTGTTGTTTTTTTACTTTATCAAGTCTAAAAATTGTTCCTATCTAAAATTGAGTAGTATCAGTTTTCAAATATGTTTTGAAGACCTGTATTTCCATCTCAATAATCTCATATTCAATTTTGTAATTGTGGATATCAGTTTATATTTATGAAGAAATATTTTAAGACATTTTTTAAATATGTTTCTAAGAACAGGTTAGTGTTGCTATGTATGTATATTTTGGGACATTTAATTTTCATAAGCAATATATGAACATAATTTGTTTAAAAACATCATATTGTAATTTTATTCTATATTTGTGAGCAACATTTTATATTAGAGAATCCAATGCATGAGACAATATTTTTTTGAGGAATTGCAGCAGACAATGTTATTAATATATATTTATTTTTATGTTCTTTTTTGTGAATTAGGGTATAGAATCACCCACATATGGAAAAACAAACAATATTATTAAAAGATATTTATTTTTTCCTCACAGAACATAATTCCAAAACGAAAATATGACATTCTCCTAAACCCAAACAACATTATGCTTCTTTCATGGTATTATTTTCAATTATTAACGATTTTACGAGCTATAGAAACTCAACTCCTATGGAATCCAATTACATATTTTAAAATTTCAAAAACATAATATTCAAGAAAGATTGCTTTCGCTTCACAAAAGTCCACCATTTATTAATACCTGACAGCAAAAAACATAAAATTGAGAAGCAAAATCATATATGTTACTGACTCAATAAAGAGGGATAATGGCAGTTCTAATAATTGATAACATTTATGTTAGTTATTTAATAAAGAAGTTACTCGAATGAACATCTTCATCTACAAATAAAAACAAATGGGTCCTCAAATTACTCAAAACCAACAAATACCCACAATATCAATCCTAATTTGATTGCCATTTTGGGGGGAGGTCGTTGTAGTATTTCGTGTAAGAACTGAAGATAGTTGTCTCACAATAGCTCTGGCTAAAATAAGGAAAAACAGATTAGTAAAAGAGGTGAAAGAATTTTGAAGTAATCATCTCTTTTTTTAGTTATACACATACACATTGTACACATTCAACAACAATGGCCATAAAATGTCCGAAAAATTTGAGAAAATCATGAGAAATGAAGGTAATCAATAACGATTCAACGATATCTCATATATAATAGGAATTAATGATAGAATTAAGCAAAAAGAATTAATTTTTATCATTATTACCTAGTTTTAAGAGAAGCATCCAAATTAATGAGCTTCTTTAAATTTTTTTTATTGGAGAGCCCAAATGTTGGTTGTTTACTTGTTTGAAATAATGAGATTCTTTAGTTTTGGCGGGGTTTAATGGAAGATGAGTGATTTGATGGTTGCTAATTTGAATTTTTGGGGAAATTTTCAAAAACAGTGATTGTTTTATGGGCATGAACAACGGACTAGATGCATAATTGATCGAGGGAGGCAAGTAGGAGAGAAGGATAAATATAATATTAAATATTTTCTTTGTTTATGTATTAGATATTATGAGAGAGTTCATTGCTGCAATATTAATTAGAATTCATAGTGACATGAACAATGTTTTAAGGGTTTTGCTTATATATATATATAAGAAAAATGAGTATGCTTTCTACCAAACATAAAATTGGTACTTGGTAGTAATGTGGATGCTTCTCATCTACACAATTAAAGATACTCATTTAAAAATGATCCCCGCTTAATTACTCATTCATTAAATGAGTGGATGACAAGTGGTCACATCACTACAAAGTACCATATTTGTGTTTTGTACTAAGCATACCCATATATGAGGTGACGGCTTATTTTGCTAAATGAGCTAGAAAGAGATAGCCATGTGGTGTGACCCACCTTGTTAGTCACATCCAAAGGTATGTGACTCTTTTTGCTAATGAGCCGCTGCCTATCTATTGGTAACTCTTTTTGCTAATGAGCCGCTACCTCATAACTATTTATATGTGTATGTAGGAATATGAGTATGCTTGGTACTAAGCACAAGCTGGGTGCTTGGTAGTGAGGTGAATGCATCTCAACTCCACATCATCATTCTATCTCTTGGTAGCTCTTTTTGCTAATGAGCCGCTACCTCATAACCATATGTATGTGTGTGTGCGTAGGAATATGGGTATGCTTAGTATTAAGCACAAACTGGATACTTAGTAGTGAGGTGAATGTATCTCAACCCCACATCTATAGTTGTAAAGTACTAGGAGAAAATGTGTCACATGGGAATTGGGAATGCACTTTCCATCAAACTAATCTCACTCACATCTTTGGTTGAGATACCTCCATCTTATTATCAAACACCAAAGTTGGTGCTTGGTACCAATCATACTCATATTTCTCATATGTGTGTGCATGTGTATATATATAATAAAATTTCAAAAACACATAATTTTATATATTCCTATTAATTACCTCATAATCCGATTAATCACTACCCAATATTGGGCCGTACACATAATTAGACCATGTTTTAGAACCTTTATAGTAATCATGACATTGGAGAAAGTCATAAATATTTAACAAATAATGTTTTCGAGTCTCTACTACAAACTTTTGTATTGAAATAATGCTATGTCAAAATAGCGTATATTTATAATGAAATAGTGTACACTATATCGTAATAACATACAATCATGATGTCCTCGTGTTGTTTCAAATGATATATAGCGTTTAAGGTTTTCCTAAGTTACATTATGTGAAATAACGAGTTACGTGGCGCATTTTGAAACACTGGTCGAACCATTAGGACCTATGTTACCTGAGTACTTCTATCACGAAGCCGTACCTGTACTTGACATGTACCCATACCGAAACTTCATGGACACTCCTTGGATGTATGCATACATTTATTTAGACATGCAATGAATTATATGGTCTATGTTTTAATTTAAAATACCTAAAAAAGCACTTCTTGGAGTTGGATGTCTATCCAATACTTCACACCCATTTCTTGAAATTCGTGTTCATTTTAGCCCATACTCAAGTTCAAAACTATGATTTTAAAGGGTCATTTGGGTGTCTAGTTTAAAAACAAGCAGTTTCTAATTTCTAATGATTTTAACATAAGAAAAGAAACTTAAAATGTGATAGAAATCTTAATTCTAATAACATATGAATTGAAAACCCCTACCCGTTTCCATGAAACTTAGATTATTACCTTAAATGAAACCATACTAAAGCTGACTTGAGAAGGTCTGTTGGGATGTTTTAACTGATACCAGATGAGAATTTTGCTTGCTAGTTTTATTGTATCAGTGAATGACTTAAAAACACTACTTACACTTGAATTCAGAAAATTTTGGTTGTAGTTCAACTGTTTCTGTTTCTTTTATGTGTCACCACTTACTGCTTGCAAATCTGTGTACATCATGCATTTTTGTCCTTAGTGGTGCTTATCCTTCCTCATTCTGAGTTTACGTGCAGGGAGAACTCCAAGTTGTTTCATGGTTTCAATTTCTCCCTTATGAATCTGATCCAAACCCTCTTCCAGAGAAAAGGTTTAATTAAGTCATGCAATTTCCTTTTAACACTTGCTTTAATTATTATTGATAAAAAATGCATTTACTAGTTTTTGTCACTTTTCCCGCTTCTTTCCAGTTTGAAATCCGAACAGAAAGATGCTGCTACTTATTTGGTGCTTTCAGCACATCTGCAGTTGCAGAACAATGGATTTCTCAGCACGTGGACCAACTCTTTTGTTGGTCCATGGGATCCATCTCAGGGCATACACAACCCTGGTGAGGATTCTAAGCAATGCCTTTCCTTTGTGTTCTCCAGGCTTAAAAATTTTTAGGTTTTAAATGGTGATTAAATTTGCAGATGAGAAAATTAAGCTTTGGCTTTTTCTTCCTGGACGGCACTCTTCAATAGATGAGTCTGCTCAAGCTGCAGTATCAAAATTGAGAGGTTTTATTTATTTATAGCTTTATATCCTATAATTGTAAAAGTATATTTGTGTTTTACCAGAAGATGTATTGTCTCCCTAATTTTTTTTTACTTTGGTTAAATTTATGATAAAATTGTGGGTTTCGGTATAAAGTTATTGGTACTGGACTCTGGTTAGCCCCTGGAGACTCCGAGGAGGTTGCTGTTGCTTTATCTCAGGCATTGAGAAATTCATTGGAAAGGTTGCTCCTCTTACTCTTAAGAATATCCAGTATTTATTAGTAATTTGATTTTCATTTTCCTTTCTTTTTCAGATCATTAAGAGGACTATCCTATGTGAGATTTGGGGACGTTTTCACCAAATGCCACTCATTTGCATCAAACACACAAAACTTCAGGTATCTTGATGAATATTTTACTGGAAGTATTATGATGCATTGTTTTTCCTAGTAGTCTCATTCAAGGTTTTAAATATCGGTTATCGGGGATTTATCGGACAGCCAAAATCCTTATCGGATAGCGGAAATCGGGGATATATCATGGATAAGTAGTATTTATCAGAGCAATGTATTGGATGGTGTATATATATAATATAACAACTAAAAATGTAATCTAACCATGCTTATTGAAATATAAACATACCAAAACAGAAAAGCAAAGTATGTACAGTTTATTCACTAATTTCATATATAAGTCTCTGTTACAGGAAAAACAGAAAAGCAAAGTATGATACAAGAATAGTTATAGAACTGATATTACTCAAAAGAGAAAGTGCGTGCGTGAAGGAATTACAAGAGAAGGAAAGCTCACAGCATGTGTATATAGCCATGTTTCCGGACAAAAAAAACATGGTTGAGAGAGGGTAGGCGAGCGACGAAGTTCAAGGTTGAAGTTCACGAAGGCGAGTGACGAAGAGGCGCAGAGAACATGAGATGGAGATAACGGAGGAAGCGCCCAACAAGAAAAGGAGCAGCCGCCAGAGACGAAGTTAGGGTTTGAAGGTCGGATTCACAAAGTTTCGGGTTTTAAGTTTCATATTATTAACAAAACGGGTCGGGTCGGGTTTTAAAAACTCAACAACTCAACTCAAAATGCCTGGCCGATAACCCCGATAATTTAGCCTTACTTATCGGCCGATAAGTGCCGATAATGCCGATAACTCGCCGATAATCTATCCAAAATGATAACCGATTACAAAAGCAACTTATCCTAGCGGAGAGCTCAAAAATCCGATAACTCGGCCGATAATAACGATTATCGGCCGATATTTAAAACAATGGTCTCATTGTACATCATTGTCTTAGTACTTCAAATAAAAGATAGATGTCATAGACAAGATTAAAATATGTCATGGCGATCTATTTGGCTACTATTAAGGTCAGGAAACAAATTAAAATCTCACATCTTAAGTCCAACTGTTCATGCAAGGTAAGTAATTTTGTCATTCAATGCTTAGTGCCCACTTTTAGGATCTTACATAAGATAGAACACCCAATGCAACCCCAGAAAGCTTAAGCTAGTGTTTGGATACTATGTCGTTTCCCTTGTTTCCATGGTGTTTTTGTTAAAAACAAAACACGTTGTGTTTGGAAACCATGATGCTTTTTGAACTAAAACATCCTCAAACCAAGAACATTTATTTCAATACACCTTTTAAGTGTTTTGAGTTTGGTGTTTTGATTTCAAGTTTGAAGGGGTGTTAATATAATATCTAATACACACACACATATAATTAATATAATTTATTATCAACATGCTTGTTATATCACATTATAATATATTATAATATACTATATTTAATCTAATATGTTAGTAATATTTAGTAAATAAAATAAAACATATTAAGTTATATTATGAGCAAGATGGAGGAACTTGGTACCAAGCACAAGTTTTTGTGCTAGGTAGTGAGGTGACTCATTTTCATCCACTCATTCAAATGGGGGACCGCATTCATATGAGTTGGAGAGTGGATGAGAATGAGACACCTCACTACCGAGCACAAAATTTGTGTTTGATACCAAGTTCTTACATTTTTCTCTTATATTAATAGTAGTATAATATTATATTAAAATAATAGTATTTTAAAAATAATATATATTATATAGCAATAACAAATTGATATACCAAAACAATTAAATATAGTTTTAGTTGAAGATATTATGTAATAATTATAATATAAAATATTAAAGTATAATATAATATTATAATAAATTATACTATAGTATAATGATAATGATGTTAAATAAATATTATATAGTTTAATTATAATATGTTCTATGATAGTTAATATCTAATCATTAATAATATCTTTAATACTAATATTACCAAGGGTCAAACTAGTGCTGATAAAAAACACTCACCATGGTGTTTTGAAAACACTTTGGAGGGAAAACACAATGCCATGGTGTTTTTTAGAAAAACACAACATGAAAAATTCCATGGTATCCAACGAAGGTGACGTTCAGGGAGGGAGCCTTCTATCTGGCAAATAGTGACAGATCTATGTATTTTAGGGTTCAAAATGCCACGTGTTGCACTAAATTGAGTGGTGCTTGAGCTACTGTTTCATGCTGTTGAACAAAGTAACCAGCCCCTTTTCCATTTCTGGCCAACTATAAGCAGCGTCTTTTAATTTCTATGCACCATGAACAGCCACTATGCAGAGAGGCATATATTTTCTTTCATTTCTCATGGTGGCTTCTAATTCTAGAAATTCTCATGGGCGGGCAAGCTGTTTTCTGACAATGCAGTTAAGCTATGTTTGACAGCACATTCTTGATTTTTTCCCCAAGTCATAAAAATCGTAATTATTTTTCTTCCTTATCTTTCCTTATGCTCCATTATGTGGAACTATCAAGTAGAATGTGTCCACTAGCTATATCCGATTATCAGTGTGTTAATATGTTTTTCTTTTTCCATTTATTTTTCAGTTCTACTTCACTATTTATTTTTGTAGGAGAGTGCAACCGACGATTGAGTTTATCTTTTCTGTGAATGAAGAAGCAATCTACGTGCATGCAATAATATCTGCAAAGTCAGTAACTTTATTTACATGTCTATTTATTTTAAATCATTTTTTTAGTTCTCACAAGGTTCTGTTTGATGAATCTGTCGTTCTTTCTGTAATTATAAAGTTGATAAGAAGCATTATAATTGTGATTATGATTGTTTACATGTAGGCATGTTCGGGGACTTTGCAGCGATGACATGGAAAGGGTATCAAAGCATCGTTCCTCTAATTCCACTGGGGAAGGTCTTCCAGGTACACCATATAATACAAGTTGTTCTTCAGATGTCCATCTTGTTGATCCTGGAAACAAGCTCTCGACTTCTGATATATACTAGTGATTAATGAGTTCTATTACTGAGGGAAATGCATTGTTATTTATACATTCATTGGCAAAGTTTTATTGCTATTTGCAGATTGCTAATAGATACTTCAGTTCTAACCAGGATAAACTTGAAACCTGTAAGGAACCTTACTTATTTAGCTTATCCAGTGTCAACCAATTATGAGCTATAAAGTACTTGCTCCCTTATTTAGAGGGCCGGTATTGATAGATTCGGGACCATGTATCTTTTTTCCCCTTCTAACTGTCTAAGTTGAGGATGACCTGTTGTTTTTTACCTTTTTTTTTTCTTTTTTTTCTATTTTTCTATTTTTCTTTTTAATTTTCTTGTCATGGGTTAGCCATGATCTAAGTTATGAATCTCTGACATCATCATGAAGGTCATAGTATTTAAGATGGATAAAAGGTTGTTATTCCCTCGATGTTTAGGTAGGTATCCCTCTCTCATTCTATCCATTGCAATTTGCCAAGCACGTGTCTCGTCATTTTCCTGCTAGTTTGGCCTCTTCCTTTACATTTAGATCTTAGTTATTTTCTGTCTTTTAATTATTCCTTGTTTGCATCAAAATCATAGTCATACCATATCTGGATGTACTTTCACAAGGCACGAACATGTCAAGTTGAACGGTGACTTGAATTTACTGTTAAATCTAACTTGTTGAAAATGAAGATTAATGAGAGTAAAGCTGTTCCTGTAAACATCTCTCTTCAGTCTTACTTTTCAGGGAAACAATTTGGGATTTATATTTTCTGGTGTGAGACCATCAAAATGTATCCTTTGACTGCAGCTTTCTCAGTAACAACTCTATCATGCAAATTATGTTGTTTTCTGAGTGTCCCTTATATTGATTATGAAATAACTAAAAAAAAGAAAAGAAAAGAAAAGAAAAAAAATGGAAATTCCTGACATTGCTTTGACGAAATAATCAGGTTTCATGAATGTTAGATGACTTGAAATCATGTATATAGTTTTTCATCTTAGATTTATTGTTCATGTCTGAACATTGAACCATATGGCAGTCATTGTTGCCCCTAATGGCATGCGAGGAAGACTTACAGGATGTTGTCCAAGTGACCTGGTGAAGCATGTGTATATCAGGTACTTTGTTGAGAATCTTTTATCTTTGTTTTATTTCAAAATGAAGAACAATGTGCTAACCTGTTTTGGTTTATCCAGTTTGCTTATCGTTCTACTAGACTTGACATGGAAGTGTCTGTTTTCGCTAAATGCAATCAAATAAAATGATTTTTCCTTAGTAGTCTATCTTTGTGTTCTTTTTTTATAATTTTTTTTATTCCTTATTGCAATTTTTCTCTCTTGGTTTGACAATTTCAGCAAGAACAAGGCTTCAAAAGGGTTAATTGGGGGAATGCCTTTTGATGTCGCTCAATCTTCAGGCTGCCAGCTAAGAGGTCAGAGTTGCTTTGTTGAAATTACTCTGGGTTGCTCCTCTAAATGCAGTAGCAAAACTTTGGAGTCAGGCGTTAACCAAAATAAGAACACCATCCATCATGGAGAGGTACAAATGAAGCCTGTTGGAAGAAGTCAGCAGAAGCAGGGATCAGAAGATCAACTTGCAATTCTTCAAAGAACATTCATTTACCAACCAGAAACTGTGCTGGTTCCTTTAATGCACAAGGCGTTTGCTAGAACTTCCCTCAAGAGGTATCTGTTTTTACTATCTACTGCTTCTGAAGTTGCACTTTACTCATTTTTTTTTCTATGTGCAGGTTTTGTCGGAAAAATTGGTCCCAAAAATCATTAACTGAGCTGTGGCCATTATGGGGTTTTTCGTATTCATCACATATTGAACATTGGTTAGTCCTTGCTTTCCATTACTCGCTATTGTATGCTCTTTAAATAACCACTTTATAAGCACAAAATTCAATCTTTCTATGAAAAAACGCCAAACACACATCACACATGCACACCAATTCGACATATGCATTGATGTGGCTGAATCTCAAACCAAGTGTTATGAATTGAGTTAGAGTAATAAAGAAAGAGCCCCTTTATTTACTTGGCTGAGATTCAACCGCATCACTGTAGATGATAGAATCATATAATCTTCTGATATGCCATATGATACCCTATATATAATTTTATTTTATATATAATCCATATTACAATGTAAAGCTAATTGTTGATTGTGGATATTATGTATGCTCATATTCACTTATTGTACGTTCATCTTTACTTCCTCTTGACTGCTGTTAAGTAAAAAATAGTTCTTACACAAACCAAATTAGTGCGTACATATGTATGAATGTAGGCATGCAGACATCACGTATGCTTACTGCTACAAAAGTACCTTAAACTATCTGAAGCAGGTTTCACAATTACTCCTTTTGATTTTATCCAGACTGTCCAGTGTTGATGTTTATTATGTATCTAAAACAAATTCTAACTATATAACAGGGATCCTAACTGTTTATGTAAAACTGAATCCTAATGTTGACTGTGACTTAATGAAAATTTAGTAATTAACTAATTGATGAAGTTTCAAAAATTTTTAACTAAATGTGCAAGATTTCTGAATTGGCAATGGGAGGATCAGTGTACTAAATAAAAAAGATAAGGGAAGTCTTATGTCTAAAACTTCTGTATTTTATACTGTTTTATGCATGTGAAGAATCCCTTGTAGTTTTAAATTTATGCACATGTTCTGAATAATAGACTCCTTTTAGGCTTCTTTAGGCTGCTACAATCGCTATAGTTGCTCTCATCTTGTCCTTTTATGCTGATTATCTGTTTGGTTAGCTTGGCATTTGGAAGCACTTGCAATGATGTTATTGATGGACTTGAAGTTGATAATATGCGACTGCAGCGCCGACTTAATAGCAACAGCAACAGTAGTAGTATCAGCAGTGTAAGTAGCACTTCAAGTGAATCTGATAATGTGATGGCTATTGATGGTGATGATCTTGAAGCAGATGCTGATTCTCATGGCTCTAAAAGGGCTGCTTTATTGTCCAATGAACAACTCGAGAATGATGGCAGTAGAATGGTAATTATACATGTTCAAACTTAGTATGCTATGCTTCTCGCATTGATGATTGTTGACTGCAGATGACAATCTTGTTTCATGAAGAAATAATCTGGTTTAATGAATGTCTGAGTTCTCAGAAATTGAACCTTTTCTGCAAATGCATAACAACTTGTCTAGCTGAAACTGTTTTTAATGCAGGTTAAGCGTCCTCGGACAGGCACAGATGCACTTGGTCAGACTGCAGGCGTACTTGTGCAGGATGCAAATAATTCAGCTTCTGCAGGACTGATAAATTTTGAATCTCAATGGGATTGGGACGATGATGATGACGAGAAAGGCTTTGGCTTGGATATCCAAATAATACTTTCCGAATTTGGAGATTTTGGTGATTTCTTTGAAAATGATGTTCTATCATTTGGTGAGGTATGTTTATTGGGAATCCTTTGATCATAATCTGATGCACATGTTCTCAGGGATTTTTTTTCTTCTCTATTTATATCTAACTTTTAAGTTGATGCATGCCAATAGCTAAATTTGAACCCTTTATCCTACAGACGGGTTGAAAGATCAGATTATGGCTTATTCCTTTCTATTCAAGTTAACTGTTTACCAGTTGGAATGTCTAGAAGCAAAAACTTCTTATAATGTTTTTATGTGGTTTCCCAAGTGAATGAGCTAACTACATTAAATTTGATTAGTAGACACTGATATTGATGTCATATTCCGACGTGGGAAGAGTGTATATGACCTGAGGACACAATTATACATGTATATTTCTTCTGAATAAGTGTGTTTAACTAAATATATGTAGTGCTCAAAGGCATAAACTTCTCGTGAATGACGGGAATATTGTGTAGTGCTCAGGGTAAATTTATAGTTGGCTGATCTTTATCTGTATTCCAGTAAATAGGAAATATAAGAAATAGGAAATATAAGAAAACATCCTAAAATATGAATTTTTTCCCCTTTGATGGAAAGCTCTATATCAATATTTCCTTCACTTTCCTTCTTGTAAATGACCTTCACCAACTTATCACTTGCTATTTGTAGCTGCACCGCTTGAATCATTGTCCGAAGCTTATTGTAAACTGTCCATGGTCTTACAAGAAAATTTAATCTAATTTGCATTGATGCATTTTTTTGTTTACATATTTGGTAATTTTTAATTTTTAAGTTGGTCGAGATCAGAAATAAAGGTCTTTTTACTACAAATGTTGATGTTATGTTTTTCTTATGCAGCCTCCTGGAACAGCTGAATCTCAAGTCCTCATGTTGCCTGCCCCTGATTGTGAAGATGTCAGTGCAAGTCCTTGCACTGGAGGAATGGATGTTGATCAGAAACTTTCGCCTGTTGCTCTGACTTCTTTTGAGGGAGTTCATCTTCCACGTTTGGCGCTTACGGAAAATACTCAAAGCAAAAATACAGAATCTACAAGGGATTCAAGATCACTTGCAGAAAACCATTTCTTGCCACCCTCTATGGGTAAGTTTGATTATCTCACAAAGGCTGAAGCGATGATGTCATTTGCACCTGAATATGCAGCCGTTGAGACTCCTGTTAGTGAGTTTTCAACATCAATTTTTAAAAGTCCATACTTACCCCGATCTAAAAGGGTCGAAAGTCTGCAGTCAAGCACAAGTGCTTATGTGTACGGCATTACACCATCTTCTTCTTGTGTGGAGACATCAGAGGAAAAACTGGAAACAACAGGCAAAGTGGGTTCTGCAGGACATGATACAAATTCCTCTGCAAGATCATCGAAATTATATGATCTTGTTCAAGTCGGGAGAAAAAAGAACGACAGTAAATCAACCAACAATGACATATCTTTACTTAAAGGAGATGCATCTTCTCTGTCTGGCATCAATTCGTCAACCACGACCTTCACTCTTCAAAGGAAGAACGAACAAACATTTGAGGCGGGACATCTTTTACTGCCCGTAAAGACTGTACTTGCTACAGAAATTGAATGCATCATGTTTCAAGCTGCCATGTGTCGGATAAGACACACATTACTTTCACTGAACAATCATTTACCTTTTGGATTGAGTAATGTAGCTGGAAATGTTATGCCAGAATCCTGTATTACTCGGACACCTTCTGATATGGTGCCTAATAAGTATGATATGAAGAAGAAAGATTCTTTACCTGTCAGAATAGCTGGTGAATTTGACGGAGGAATTTTTGAAGAACCTCTCACCGCACAGGTGGGTGTTTGGCGCTCTGTTGGGGTTCCTAAAGTAACAAAGTCTTCAAATATGCGAATTTCAGAAAATTCATCTTCATTGGCTGGTAATATGCTGACTGATGATGGTTTAAGTTTCTCTGGGCAAAGACAACCTCTTCAGGAGCTTCTGGATGCGATGGTCTTGCTAGTTCAACAATCTACTTCCTTTGTGGATATTTCACTGGATATGGATGACAGTGAGAGTTCCTACTATTTGCTTGCGTTACAGGAACAAGGAAGGCGTGGGTTTTCTTGTGGTCCTTCTATGGTTCATGCAGGTTGTGGTGGACTTTTGGCCACATGTCACTATATGGACATTGCTGGTATTGACTTGATAGATCCGCTCTCTGCTGATGTAAGTTTCTTGTCTTGTATTCTACTTGGATACTCTTTCATATCCTTTGCTGCTTCTCTTGTTGATATTAAGAACCATAAGTTTTAGGTAGCTATTTTTTGAAGACCATAACCTTGTGTAGGTAAACTTTGAACAGTAGCAATTTAAATAAACATGCACAAATAAGTATCCCATGATGGCAGTTTCTTGTGATCTCAATATAACATCTTGGCAGTTAAGCTGCATTTCATTTCATATCCTGTCAAATTTTTTTCGTTCTTGTTCTATGCCAAATATCAAATCTTAAATCAGTTACTACCTGCTGACCTGTAATCCCTTGTTTGTTTAGCTGGATCATCTTTTCATAGGACACGCTGTGTATGATATCTCTGCATTGATATATGTGTTACGCTTGCTGTTGACAAAATACTTTAATATTTGTGGGTAGGTTCCACCATCATCTGTTATTAGTTTGCTGCAGTCAGACATTAAGGTTGCCATGAAATCTGCTTTCGGAAATCCAGATGGCCCGTTAACAGTGTTTGATTGGTGTAAAGGACGAAGCCAATCGATCGACTCAGGAGCTTCTGGAGATGGATATTCTTATGTTAGTGAAACTAAGGACTCCTCTGGTAATCTTACTATTGTTGGAGATTCAATAAGTCCTCAATCAATTGGTGGTTCATCTTGTATTAGAGGTATGCTTTGCTGCTTATACTAAATTTTATAATTTTCCTATGCTAACATAATGCTAGACTCTATTTATATCACTATAGAGGGGCCGAGAATGGATGAATCATCTCAAAGACGATTAAGCCAAGAGATGGGCAATTCAGAGTCAGAACAGCAAAAGGGCTATTCTTGTGGTAGGCCAACAGTTGCGGTGTTGCCATTGCCTTCTATACTTGTTGGGTATGCATCTTTCATACCATTGTTCAGTTTCCAAATTATTTTACCTTTTGTGAAGTTAGATAATAGTTCTGTAAGATGAGTATGTGTGATGGCTTATATGGTAGGTACCAGGATGATTGGCTGAAGACATCTCCTAACTGTCTTGAATTCTGGGAAAAAGGTCTAGAACCTTATGCTTTGCAGAAGTCAGTAAGTGCTAAGAGTTAGTTTCTATCATTCTTAATGATATTTTCCCCTTCTTATGTTTCACGTTATTCTGCTAGAAGTTGGTTGACTTGATTGTTACTTTACCTTTTTGGCAGTGGGTCATTTACTGTTCCATTTTTTGGTTGGGTTTGGTTTTGGGCAGACTATTTTGTTGCATGCCTCTTCTAAAGCCTCTTTTTTTTTTTTAAACTTCACTGCTTATGCATGTTGATGATTGTTACAGGTTACTTACTGTGCTGTTTGTCCGGATATTAATCTGCTTACTTCAGCTGCTGCTGATTTTTTTCAACAGTTAGGAACGGGTAAGTCCTCTTTTCTGGTTGGGTGCACTGTTTGCTTCTGCTATTCTTGATTAATATGTCTTCCTGTATCTTGTGGTGACTGTATATTCATCTGCTATTTATGTGAAAGGTATATTTGTCAGACAAAGCAAGCTTAGAGTTATAACTAAATAATTTATGGCTTTCTTTCAAATTTGGAGGCTCTGGCCATGTCGTAAGTGTAGGCCTCTTGAATAACATGGCCAGAATTATCTGCTACTCAGACTCAATAATGTTCATCTGGTGCATTTTACGTGAGTTTGAATAATTGCTGAAATCTTTGAATAATGGTTGATTTCCAGAATGGAAGTCTCTCTTTTTCTTTTTCTGATACTGCGGTTTGTATTCTCCAAGTAATTCTACCTCTTGGCTCATCAATAGTTCTGATTGAGTGTAAACCATAAAATGAAACCTTGTTCCGCTTATTTTGGGTTGGATTTCTATTCATCTTTGCCAACCATTGCTTTATAGGCCAAATTTATAGCTAAAGGCATGTTGTGCAGGTTAAAATAGGTGGGTGGGTTTGCTTATTTGGTTTTTGGTAGAATAACTCGGTGATTGTAATTCAGGCTGCAAATAAATCTTAGCCACAGGTGCTTGCAAGCCTAGATGTGGAAGCCGAGAAAGCCTCTGGATAAGTAGGAGCCTTAACATTGTTGCCAAACATAGACAGAATTAAGAATACCACATCCCTCTTTTCATGCTGCTCATGAACAGAAACATTATTAATGCTTCCATGCAGATTATCAAACTCCTTTATTGACCCTTGTAAACCAAGTGAAGAGCTTCCTTGTGCATCTTCTGTGGCTTTGAGCCTGAATTATGTTGCTCACTTTGATGTACTTCTGTTTAAATATTTTATCTTTTATAAATGCTAAATTGACTTTGACCTCTTTCACTATTTGATTTTGACATCCTTTTTGCTGACTTATTTTAGCATGGAACCCTAGGTAGTAGCCTCTCTACAAATGGGGACTCCTGCAGCCCTTCATTGTTTATAGTGAAAAATGAAAATATAATATCTGATCTAAGTACTCCTTTGCTCTTCTATCTTCTCTCTTTATTTTCTTGTCTAATTACATGGCTCTCTTTTCCTTCTTAAGTTTGGCTTTACGAGGATTTGTTGAGTAATCTTGTCTTACATATAGAACGGGTCTCTCTGGTTTGTTGTGTTCCACTGATAAGTACTTAAAAGTTATGTGTGGGTATGACTCATGTTCTGATTTTGGTCTAGAGAAGCTAATTATTAGCTTTTTCAAGTATGGAATCACCTAATAGTAAGGTAATGGGAGTTACCTTATTAAAGAAAGTAAGAAACAGGGAGTTCCTAGGTGAGACCAGTTAACACCTCTGAGGGAGTGCAAAGGGGAGAGTGCAAGACAAAAGATACTACAAAGCATAATAGGTAGAGGTGTATAGAAGTTCAACAGGACGTGTAGGTGTTTTTTGCTTTCTTTTTTGTTTTGTTTTGTCTTTTATTTTTGGTTTTTTGTTTCTTTTTTCGCGGGGGATCTTAATTTTCCTTTCTATTATGTTTCTTTACTTTTCTATGTGTTGCATAAGACTTCCAAATGACAATTTTCTATTTGGGAATCCTATGTGTTCCAGTTTATGAGGCCTGCAGACTAGGAACTCATTCACCTTTGGTCAATGGAAGCCAGATGGAACTATCCCCTGGAAAGGGTCCATCTTCTGGCCTAGTTCTTGTTGACTGTCCCCAGCAAGTGAAGGTTGCAGGAAATAATCTATTTTCTATCAGTTCAATAAGTGACTACTTTCTGGCGTTATCCAAAAGTTGGAGTGTGGATAAATTCATTAGTGCTCTTGGAAAGGTTATCAGGGATCTAAAACTCACTACAAGTTCTTCCCAGAATCAGAAGGAGGGGAGTGCAGGTCCATGCACTGTATGTTTCTCTATTCCTTTTTTCCTCTGTTTATAGTAGATATTATTATATAGAAAAATTCCCCTGTTTTGTTAATGACTTATGCCAGTGGAAGAGTGACCATAAAAATAAACTGATTATCTTCTTAATGCAAAATTTGGTGTCTTTTAAGGCATAAAAGTATTCTATATGCATGGAACTGTCTTCATGAATTCTGAACTTCCACCTATGATGTTCGAAGTAGATTCTTTTTTACATTTGTTGTGTGTAATTGCCTACAAAGTACAAACTGACTTGCCCTTTTCATGATTCACTCAGGTAGTATATGTTGTATGCCCTTTCCCTGATTCTACAGCTGTTCTGAGAACTCTGATCGAGTCCTCTGCTGCCATAGGATCAGTTGTCCTGTCTCCAGATAGAGAGAGACAATCCTGGTTACTCTCTCAAGTTGCGAGAGCTCAAAGTTGTCCGGCTGCTGCCGATGAAGTAACATCAAATGTTGTAATGCTCTCAGGATTCAGCATTCCAAAACTTGTTTTGCAGATTGTGACTGTCGATTGCTTACTAAGAGTCAATAGGCCAGTGAGTGAGCTTACGGTCTTGAAAGATATTGCTTTCACTGTGTACAACAAGGCTCGTCGAGTATCACGGCCTATTCCTAGCAATGACATGTTTCGGACATTATCTGCGTCAGGGAGACAACAAGCTTCATTGATGCATGCGGCTTCTCCAATTCAAGGCATGTGGAAGGATTGCCTTGCTCCTCGAATGTCTGGATCCTCTCTTTCTAGAGAAGGTGAGCTTGATGCTGCCTTGAGGCCTGGTGCTTGGGATAACTCATGGCAGGCATCAAGGACAGGACTTGATTCAAATAGATCAGCGGATTTGCATTTTCAAGATGAGACAAGATGCATGTTTGAACCACTATTTATACTGGCAGAACCTGGTTCTTTGGAGCGTGGCTCGTCTGTGAGCGTGTTAGGAAGTGCATCACTAGAATCTTCTAGTTCAAAATCTGGTATTGATGATAGTAGTGGAATTTATATGCAAAATTCCAATTCAGGAAGGAATTCAGAGGTTGGAACAAATTCATTGCTCGACATAGCAGACCATGATCAAAAATTAGCCAGCCTTCACTGTTGTTATGGGTGGACTGAGGACTGGCGGTGGCTTGCCTGCATATGGACAGACTCTAGAGGAGAGTTGCTTGATTGTAATATATTTCCATTTGGTGGTATTAGTAGCTGCCAAGATACAAAGGTTCTCCAAAGCCTGTTTGTTCAAGTTTTACACCAAGGTTGTCAAATATTATCCAGTTCTCCTGATTCTGGCTCTGTTAAGGCAAGGGACATAATTATTACACGTATTGGAGGTTTCTTTGAGTTAGAATGCCAAGGTAATCATTAATATTCTTTTCCTTCTGCTTTTTTCTTTCCATTGTTTTGGAATTAAGAAAATGAGTGTTATATTCTTTCATCACCAACGTGTTATGTAAAACAGAATGGCAGAACGCTATATATTCAGTTGGAGGAAATGATGTTAAGAAGTGGCCCCTGCAACTAAGGCGATCTACCCTCAACATTCTCTCCTCGAGTACTAATGGAACTTCTCTTCAGCAACATGAAATGGGTTTAATACAAGAAAGAAATCTTCCTCCCTCACCTAGCTCTTCTTTATACAGCCCTCGTGCAAAAACAAGCTATATGAAAAGTGGTCTAGGCCAGGGTAATACCAAAAAACAACTACTGGCAGGACAGACTGGGGCTGACAATTCAAGAGGACTTCTACAGTTGGTTCAGAGCATCAGTTTAGTTGGAGTTTCTATTGATCATTCTTTGTACCTAATGCTTCCAGCTGATTCTTCTTCCTCTGGTGAGTCCCCCTGTTCATAAGTTACATTTC